ATTTCCTGGCTTACGAGAGCACGAACGTTTTGTGGAAGTGTTACGCGCACACGTCATGTGCGTATCTCTTCATCGGCAATAAAAGCAAAAACAATACGTATATTTAGTTTATCGGTTACATGTTAACGATCGAATAAAAAGAGTCTCGGCATTAATGAGGATTCGAGATTACTAACATATGTTTAATGATCTTAAACTTCATTTATTGGATACAAGTAAATCACTGTAAAGTTGTATATGAAATTATTCGGAATTCAAGATGTAAATTTTATTGGACTTTAATTGGTGATTCACCTGATTATAGATGAGCTTCTTGTGGTACACTCAATTGGTGTCGGGTTGTCGTCGTTGTCTCTTGTTGAGCTCCGCCTTCCACGATCAGCTAAGAGTTCAATGGTCGTCCAAAAAGAGCCTTCGGAGGCGTTTGACGAAGCTCTTTGCATTTTTGAGCACGCGTGATAGACGATGCAAGTTTATTCCGTCACGGTAGAAGGTGCAATGACTGCCTCTATTATATCCCGACCCCTGAATCAAACTACAAGATATCCCTTCAGCACGCAAACGTTAATCTAAGTCTTTTATGTGAAACTTTCGTATGGACGCCCATTCAAAAAAGTTTATCGGCACTCTAGTCGTTAATTGAAGTTAATTGTTATGCTTCCCTTTATAGTTCGACGATATTAAATGAATGGAAGTTGGTTACTACCAGAAAAGATCATAATTTTGAGGCATTTAATTATAAAACATAGACTGAATTGCATACAAAATTAACATTTGATGGATTCAGCGCGCTTTTCAATTAATTGAATATAGAAGCAGAACGATGGCGAAGAGGTGTTACACAAAAAAGTTTTACTGGACAACTGACTTAAATGCAGGGAACAGCCTAGTTCCATCGGCTTCTCCAGAGGTGACCCGGATGGCACCAACGTCGCGACCGGGTCAGCCGGATGCTTGATCGGCCTTCAGCAAACTCATGAAAATAATTAGGCTCATTTTTCATTCGTCGAAATACTTTCATGAAACGAATTTGAAGTTTGTCAAACGAGGTGTTTTGAAACGAAACGCTTTGGGTTAACGTTGTTTATGGCTTGCCGTCGCGTGGTAGATCAGCGTGATGCATCACTCAATACGTGCTTTGAAAAAAATTATGTTGTTACAGACATTCAACAGTCAAAATAAAGAGGTTACGACAATTGAACTGCCGGTGGTCACGCACATAATTTGCCGTGTCAATTGTATTAACATATGATTAGCATTATATTACATACTATATTGTTGTAGCAACAATACTGGTTTACTTTAAAATTAAAAAATTGACCGAAGTCCATAGTTATCATAATTTGAATGCCGCCACCCAGCGCGATACATCAGATCGAAGAAGTCTATTATGCGTAGTAAAGCATTATACCCTACCACCGGCTACTATGCAAACTTATAATTTTTGTGCAACGATGTTATTAACAAAATACACCCATAAAAATTTTTTTTTTCGTCGTCCTCAATTTTCATTACGATAAGTAAAAAAATATTGACCATAATATTTGAGTTGAGAGATTATAACAATCTCTTGGGAAAACGTGGGTTAACGTGTCGTCAAAATTCAAGCGTAATCCACTATTCAAAATTGTACACTATCGATTTACGTTTTGGCATATTTAATTCAATGTGTGTGTTTCATCATGTTAACTGTGCCAAATCTCATTTTCTTGTGCGTAATTTGATTAAATAGGGCACAAAGATTTTTTTATTTATGAACTAATTATATGTATTCGTACGGGTAAATAATAAGCCGAAGAACATGACAGATCACGACCTATCGGTATAGTTTGCTAATGTGAAACGCTGATCGCATGGGGGTAAATGCGTTTGAAGCGTGAACGTGGTAGAATCACCGGATTAACAGCACGACGCATCAACTTGTCTACATTCGGAGAACTAAACACGAAGAGAGTATTGTTTTTTTTTCTATAAGCGAGGGGCTACTGGTGACCCAGAGGCCTTTCCACTTTCACCAGGACAGGTGGGCCAGCAAAGGCTCAGCCAGGAGGGGTGGGATTTGCTAACAGTCAGTATACTACCATATGCCTCCTCAGATTTTTTTGTTCATATCACTAAATGGGTAGACCGAGCTTACGGTCCGACATGCTCAGTTGTTACCAAAGACCATAGACATCACAACGAGAATTCCGTCGCCTATCTTAAGACGTTCTCTAATCCGGACATCCAGAAAAGATGGTGAAAGCCGAGAAACTCTCTGTAACGGACAAAGTGGAAGAACAAGGCTCTGAGATCTTGCACAACATTATGAAATCCTATAGATGGCTAGTTCTAGTCCCACCCCGTAGAGGAGAGGAACACAGAAAATAGGAGAATAGGAGTATGTCGTAATGCTTTATAACGTGACAGATTGCATGCGAATTATGTACCTATTCTTGATGACGTACATGGCTGTTAATTTTGTAAACACTTCATACTGTCAGTTTATTATCCTGCTCAAATGATAAAACGAGATAATAAATTGAGTAAGACTAATATTTATCTCGTAGTTGGGCCACGCGTCATTCGCATTTTTCCCCCGCAAAATAATGACGAAATTCGATGTGCGTTTAAAATTATAATATATTATGTATATATGCAACTCACGCATATTGTATCACTTTTGCCTGCCACCAGCGAGGCAAATTGGGCAGTTGAAATCTTTTCATTTTTTTACGGCTCATTTCGCCTTCACCTGTTTCATCCTCTCCTTCAACCTGGGTTCAAGACATACAATTGAGTTTAGAAGTTATAATAGCATAGGTGAGCAAATCGGCTTACGACAGTAGCCCGTGTTAAGCGGTTCTGCCGCCCACTATGAACTATGACGTCAATGTATCTCGTTTGCATTGAAATAGCAACTTTACTAGCATTCCAATATCATGTAGGTATTCGTCATGAATGGGATTGGTTCGCGGCAGGATAGAGAAAAGAAATCCGGACTAGAATAATACATACAAAAGTAACTTCTTACGTTTATACGCCCTTTATACGAAGTACTGAACTGATTTTGACGTTAATTGATTTAAGTAGTTATATAAATAGTTAGGCGTAGGAAAAAACGTTGACAACTTTCATCCCATTGCTGAGCATAAATCTCTGTTCATGCGATATAAAGTCTAGACCACGCGGGCGAAGCTGCGGTCGAAAAACTAGTTAGTATAATATGATAAAAAAAATATTTATTATTGCAATGGATTTATAAAAGACCGGCTCGGTAATATTTTATTACCATATTTTGGAATATAAGGTCAAGTTTTTTTTAATTGATGATGTTTTGGATAAGTTAGTGTCGAATATTTATCAAAAAAAATATTAATGTTTTTGCAATTCATATTTTTTTCGCTTTTGCGCATGATTTGTTATCTTCCAGCCTTGTATTATTTTCGGAATTTTAACTGTGTTAATAACTATATAATTCATGATCAAACTTACTTGAATTTTTACTCTTTTGTCCTTATCATCCTGATCTTTTTTGTTTTCAGTTTTATCCCCCATTTTTGCTTTCAAACTTGATAATTTAGCATTAAATGTTTTTCACTTAAGATTTAGATTTTGTCTATTAATAAATTTCAATAGTATTTAATTAATCATTTCGCAAAAATTTTGTTCGTACATCGAAAAGTTGGTCTCGGAATTTTGGCAACGTCAAATTAGATTAGACGCTAACGGTATGTAATCATAGATAATAACACTGAATATTTAAACGGTAATGCCAGTATTATATTTTGAAACTTAATTATTCTTAATATTATTTTGAATAATAAAATTTATAAATAAATGTCGTTCTGTGAGATGCAGTTTTTTTTATTTATTTTTGATATTTGAAGTTGAGTACCTACCTTATGAAGCAACTGAAGTTAAGCGTGTACCTACTAGATTGTCTAGCGCCCATAGATATCATAATGTGAATGGCGCTGGTCACCTTCAAGTCTTAATCTTTATTGTAATTCTTCTTCCTATCAGTACACTCTTGATAGTGTGGTCGTGGCCATGCATCAGTCGGATCCTGCGATACCGATGCTCTCGCGATGCGACGCCATGTGGCACGGTGTTCCGCAGAGTGAGAGCAATCGTTTATATTGAAGTGAGTCACAGATTTTATGAGATCGATCCATCGTGTTGGAGATCGTCCGCGAGACCTTTTGCCCTGGACTTTCCCTTGCACCACCAACCGCTCAATGGAGTCCTCATTACGAGTGATGGTAACATTACATTATTGTAATAAGCCTGTTCTATAAGCCTAGCTAGGGAGCTCCTGTCCGGTTAGTGGGTTTACCCCCAGGCCCGTTCCATGCCCTTGTAAGAGTGCACGACGACCTGTTCTTCTCTATAAAACAGAACGCTTCCTCTTTTAGGGATTTAGAAATTAGGTAATTAAGTGGAAAGGTACTAGCAGGCAGGCAGAATTTTAGGAGCCTTGAGCTGCAAATCCAAGTTTGAATTTTAAAGAAATGCCCTTAATCGCAATAAGGCGGTCTATACGTTCTGTGTACTTGACGTACGGGTCCTAACTCGTGACAAAAATTAGAAGACTGAACTGAAAATCACCATTATACTAACGCGGCTACCTAAAGACAATGTTACATAAGTGAAAATCACTGCCTTAACCATATGCTCGGTGTTGTGGTGGATGCTCATAGATTACCGGTGGGTAAAATAAGAGCATCTTAAACTAATGTCTTTTAAGTTAGAAAATCATCTTTTTTTTTCACGTTGAACTGATCTTCCTAGAGTTAGTATATTAAACGAGGCTTTCTTGGGAGAAGATTAATACTAATACGTTGAACTGATACAATACTAATATATTTAATTTTATATCTATAATTTTATTTCTAATACATATTATACTTTATTCTAAAACTTTTTCTTTACACCCTGTATTTACAAGGCATAATTGAAGTGAATACGAATTTAAGATAAGACAAGAATAAAAGAACAGTTCTACAGACTAAGTCACGTTTTATTGGTCAACTTGCTAAATTCTACTAGGGCATAAATTATTTAGAGCATAATCTCCCTTTTGTTTTTGCTTCAACGCTATCCATTCTTGGCGTATATCCGGATCAGCTGGACCCCATTGGTCGTTAGGCCGACAGTTTTCACGAAATCGCTGTAATAAAACAATCAAAAATGACAACAAGTTAATAAAAGACTTTATACATTACTGAGGGTAGTTTTTTCCCGTTTTTTTTTTCAAACAAAAAATTATATAATTTGCTATGTATAGGTAAATAGATTAATTAATCAAATTGTATTTAAATTAATTTATAAACGATACTTTGCATGGCATGTATACTTAAACTATAATTTTAGTAGATAAGAGGTAGATTATCATTTCTTCGATCGATAGCTTTGAACGTTTTGAAAATTTTACACGAAACGTTTTCTACCACCAGAAATTAAGTAGGTATGTATGTCCGCCACCGAATGTTTCATGTTTAACTTCCGTCAACTGATAACATTCTCGGCTTACAGCGTATAGTTAATTTGTAACAGTTTTAATAATAATAATAATAATAAGAAAAATAAAATTACATACATCTAATACGGACCCCCTGGATCGGAGTAATTGTCTCACTACATGTATCGGAATGCACAAGACTGAAACGAAAGCTACACACCACCCGGCCATTCCCGTTGCGTCTTTCAGAGCGTACACTGTGATAGTCTGTACAAAGAAACATTTTAAATCAATTTGATTAGAGAAAAGTGGCGAAATCATACATATAAACTTCTGTGCTATTTCATGTGCCTATGAAAACGACTGGCAGTTGATTGCCCAAGATCACATCTACCAATAACTATTCTTTTGGAACCCGAACCTCTCAAAGCCGAAAAGAGAACAATGCGTTCTTAAATAAAAAAAGTAGTCATTTGCTGAGGTACATAGCTAAAGTGAAGGCAAGCGGTGGATCAACCACTATATTGTCTATTTCTGCCTTTTTTTTCCTACCTATGTTGATAGCATTGAGAGGCTGGCTATTTCAGCTTCACCCTAACGTGTATAGGTGAGCTGACGGGGCTCAAACCGGAGTGTTGCTAGCACTGACCCTAGCAAGAGCAGTGCTTCGCAGAATCTACCACCGGATCGGAAACGCGACCCACTGAGAAGATCCGGCGAGAAACTCAGTGGGCCTATTTCTGCCGCGAAGCTGTTACGGTTTTCAGTCGGATGGACAGGGTCGCCTTTATAAACGAGGGGAGACGGCCTTTAAGTTAAGAGGACTTTTAAGGTGGTTTCACTATGAGATTTGATATCCATATTAGGCGAGTCCATTCACTCATTTATGCAATCAAAAATAAAAATATTATAAAGAGGAAAGATTTGTTTGTTTGTTTGTTTCGAATAGGCTCCGAAACTACTGGACCGATTTGAAAAATTCTTTTTCCATTAGAAGCCGACATTGTCCCTGATGAACATAGGCTATTTTTAAATTTTTTAAAAATTTTTTTTTTGTTTCATGTGTATTTTAATGTTTCCGAAGCGAAGCGAGGGCGGGTCGCTAGTCAAAAATAAAAACTTTACAAGCGATTGCCAAACTCGCTAATCAGCTGATTTAACACTGCAATATTGCGCGGAGCGCAAATAATTATAAGAAATATACAAATTCGATTTCGATTATATTTTTAAAGGTTATAAGGAATTGCCGTCATCGTCACTCATCTTTATTTTGTCGTGATATTACGAATTGGATGTTTTCATTACATGCAACCGAAATCGAACGTCACGTTTCGAGGTATGATGTATTCTATGTCGGTTCACGTAAACTTATTTGAAAGGGGCATGTGTGCAGAGGATTAACATAGATTGTATTGCATGAGGATCCCCAGTTAAGCATTCCGAAGAAATTCAAAGAAGAAATATAATGTGCCCTAGTTTCGGTAAATCAAGGAAACACCGACTCACTAGTAAAATAAAGGGTAGCACGTATCTCCACAGCACTAGCCATGTTCTCGCCAACGGTTGTCCTGTCATGAACATTACGTCCGTGCTCAGTTCCCGTGGTCCATACGTATATACCGCCGCTATGATCTCCAGTGCGCAGACTATGGGCACGCAAGCAATCGCTACATGTGCGTCTAATAGTTCCATCACGTGAAGGCCACCCTAGTAACAATTTAAATAAAACGTAAACAATAAGAAATCGCAAGCCATCATGAAACTTTCGGCATTAATAATGTTAATAAAAAAACTTAACCCTACATTGAATCGAGTTTTTTTAGTAATTGTTCGACAAATAATTTACGATTGACGGGTGCAATGTTTCGTTGCAGAGAAGGATAGAAGATAGATAAAAGCTTGCGAGGTCAGGTGTAATTCAGGGAGTCTTATCAAACTTTTTGTTATTGCCATTTTAGACCGACGAGCATACGGTTCACTTGATGACAAGTGGTCACCGTCGCTCATCATTTCAGAGGCATAACCAAGCTATTGCCAGTAGGCAGTAACTGAGGAATCTTCAAACCGACTTTGAGGAAGAACATACCATAGTGTTTGGGAAACATCGTGTAAGAAACTTCATTTCAAAGCCAGACGGATGCAAATGAGCTCTCAATTTCCGCAAACGCTCTCCCATTGACGCGAAAGATTTAGAGCATAAACAAATTAATCAAATTCAACACACTATAGACGTGAATTATTAAGCACAAACACTAATTTTGTACATTAAAAGCTACTTACTATTATGTTACATGCAAGCAGATAACAACATAATTATTATATTTATCCCAAAATATATTTACTAGACTAATCTGTAGAATGTTTTGTCCGAGAAATAAATGAATGCCGGCCTATGGCATGATTGTTGATTTAAAACAGGGTTAGAAATGGAAAAAATGGCGCGAAATTTTCAACATAGAGTTTTGACAACATTTTTGTTGTTTCTCTATTTCGGTTTGTTGTGTACCATTACAGTTTTTAAGTTTTTTTATAAGTAATAATTTCTACATAAGCCGAATATGTCAAGTGTACTCAAATTAAGGACCTATTAACTTTTTCTAGAGCATCCATAAAAATATCGTAAATGCGTACGTTTGTTTGTTTCTGTGTTTGTTTGTCTTTTATTCGCGTCGTAATGAAGTAACAAAATTTTTTAAGTGACAGTTTTAGGTCGACAGAGTTAGGCTAGGTCTAAAAAAAAAAGGTCTCAAGTATAGTTTCATCGGCTCCAAGCCGAAACGCATTATTGCTTCACGGCAGAAATAGGCAGGGCGGTGGTACCTATCCGCGCGGACTCACAAGAGGTGCTACCACAAGTAAGCTTGTTTACTGTTTGTCTGGGTGTTTATTATCTATATAGATATGTATTTATTTAAGCGTATATAAATATGCATGTCAGTCTATGGTACCCATAACCTAGGTAAACCTAATTTAGGGCTGGATGACCATGCGTGATACGTTCCCGGTGATTTATTTATTATTACATATTATTTAAAAAAAAGATTGAAAAAAGGCAAACAGCTCGGGAATTGTGTTTAAACATAAGATTAAAGTTATTGTTGGCTCGATTCAATTTGGTGCCGGGTTTTTCCTTGAGCGATAGATAACGCTAATTATTAATTGCTTACCTCTGTATTGCAGATGATCGAGAAACCGAAAAGTGCCAGGCAAGTCAACAAAGTGATTAATCTTTTTCGCGTACGTAATCTCGGGAACTCATCAATTAAACCTGTGATCACTGCTTCTATTGTGACGAACTGAAAATTTTAATTGACACTCATACATATTACGATATGATAATACATAATCTGTTTTCAAATATGTAACAAGTATTAGGTTAGGTTGTGTTCCAAATTGGGTACCAAATCGGTATTATTCGACTTTTTTAAACGTCATACATATTTGACGTGAAGTGGCCCAATAAACAAAAAATCTTGTATTATTATAGCTAAAATTTAATTATTTCTACTAGAGAGTTCAGATTTCGAAAGAGCTAGCTATTCAGTGGATATATATATATCCACTTATATACCTTTGCCTTGTTTTCCAAAGCACGTTCATTATTAATGTCCTTTATTCTTTTTTATTTTTTTATTGATTAGATGGATGGACAAGCTCACGACCCATCTGGTGTTAAATGGTTACCGGAGCCCATAGGCATCTATAGCGTAAATACCGCCACCCGCCTTGAGACATGAGTTGTAAGCTCTCATTTTTAACAGTAAAACAGCTGCACCGCCCTTCAAACCGAAATGCATTACTGCTTCACGGTAGAAATAGGCGGGGTGGTGGTACCTACCTGTGGGGTCTCACAAGACGTCCTACCACCAGTAATTACGCAAACTATAATTTTGCGTGTTTGATTTTCATTACACGGTGTTATCCTTCATCGTGGAAGTCAATTGTGAACATTTGTTAAGTACGTATTTCACTGGAAAAATTGGTAACTGCCGGCGGGATTCGAACACTGTCGCATCGCTGCATACGAATGCACCGGACGTCTTATCCTTTAGGCCACGACGACTTCGAACTTTATATCACTCACCATAGTATCAATTCCAAGGAAAAACAGCATTACAAAAAATGTGACGGCCCAGAAATTTGGTGCCGGCATCATAGTAACTGTTGCCGGATATGTGACAAAGGCTAGTCCAGGACCGGCCGTCGCCACTTGTCCTACTGGGACGTTCGCTCTTTCTGATGCAAATCCTAGTACGGAAAATACGACAAAACCTGCCCACACACTGGTGCCGCTGTTTACCAACGGTATTATGATCGAAGATCTGAAATATTTCGAATATGAAACGTGTCTCAGTTAGAAAAAAATAAATATTTTTGGTTTCAATATACATATTTATGATAGTAGATTTGCAAAAAAATCATGCTGTGATGTAGAGTAAATTAGTACGTTTAAATTATAGAGAAATAAATATATAGTTTATGCCGCGCCAATAAAGAAACGAATCTAAAATGGCGGGGGCGATAATGCGCTCTCACTCTAAACTATTGCTGTCTTTAGAAACGGCGTGTACTGCATGCAAAAAAATATCAGTTCTGACTTTGTTCTCACACTGTTCCGACGCGCTCTGTTTTCTCTCAAATTTTGTTGTTTTTTGTTGCATTTGTTTGTTATTTTGTTGTTTTTGTTAAATTTGTTATTGTTATCGTTTTTTTTTGTGCCACGTGTGGTAAATAATATGGCCGCTCACAAACGAGGAAACGTCCTATTATATTATCTATACATATAAATAAAATTAGAGTGTCTGTTTGTCGTATTGAAATAACCAAATAAATGGTAAATACACCAAAATAACATTTTTTACAATTTTTGTCTGTCTGTCAGTCTGTCTGTTTTTTCCGGCTAATCTCTGGAACGGCTGGACCGATTTTGACGAGACTTTCACTGATAGGTAGCTGATGATATAAGGAGTAACTTAGGCTACTTTTTTTAAGACTAGCTTCGCCCCGCGGCGTCACCCGCGGTACGACAATAATCGCAGGTAGCACCGCGGGACTCAGTTATCAATAACAAAATTTAATATTTCCGAAGCGAAGCGACACAAATATATGTAATACTAGCGTGTAATACTAATATTTAAATGTAGTCATAAGCCTATGACTTTGACCTTATTTTTTACGTTGTACGAGGTCTCGCGTTGTTGAGGTCTCGCGTTATATGAGGTCTCGCGTTGTAGTAGGTCCCGCTTTGTATGAGTCCCGCGTTGTATGAGGTCTCGCGTTGTATGAGGTCTCGCGTTGTAGTAGGTCTCGTGTAGTATGAGGCCTCCCGTTGTATGAGGTACCGCGTTGTATGAGGTCTAGCGTTGTATGAGGTCCCGCGTTGTCTGAGGTCTTGCGTAGTATGAGGTCTTGCGTAGTATGAGGTCTTGCGTAGTATGAGGTCTCGCGTTGTAGTAGGTCTCGCGTTGTATGAGGTCTCGCGTTGTAGTAGGTCTCGCGTTGTATGAGGTCTCGCGTAGTATGAGGTCTCGCGTAGTATGAGGCCTCGCATTGTATGAGGTACCGCGTTGTACGAGGTCTTGCGTAGTATGAGGTCTTGCGTAGTATGAGGTCTCGCGTAGTATGAGGTCTCGCGTTGTATGAGGTCTAGCATTGTATGAGGTCCCGCGTTGTATAAAGTTTCGCGTTGTATGAGGTCTAACGTTGTATGAGGTCCCGCGTAGTATGAGGTCTCGCGTAGTATGAGGTCTCGTGTTGTATGAGGTCTCACGTAGTATGAGATCTCGCGTTGTAGTAGGTCTCGCGTTGTATGAGGTCCCGCGTTGTATGAAGTCTCGCGTTGTATGAGGTCCCGCGTTGTATGAGGTCTCGCGTTGTATGAGGTCCCGCGTTGTATGAGGTCTCGTGTAGTATGAGGTCTCACGTTCTAGTAGGTCTCGCTTTGTATGAGGTTCCGCGTTGTAAGAGGTCTCGCGTAGTATGAGGTCTCGCGTAGTATGAGGTCTCGCGTTGTAGTAGGTCTCGCGTTGTAGTAAGTCTCGCGTTGTATGAGGTCCCGCGTTGAATAAGGTCTCGCTTTGTATGAGGTATCGCGTTATAAGAGGTCTTGCGTTGCATAAGGTCTCGCGTTGTAGTAGGTCTCGCGTTGTATGAGGTCTCGCGTTGTAGTAGGACTCGCGTTGTATGAGGTCCCACGTTGTAGTAGGACTCGCGTTGTATGAGGTCCCGCAGGACTCAGCTATCAATAATAAAATTTAATGCTTCCGAAGCGAAGCGAGGGCGGGTCGCTAGTATTATTGTATTTTCTTTTTATTTGTTGACCCTACCATCTGTCAGTGCAGGTACATAGACGCCATTTTCGGATCGTTTCTTTATTGGCACGGCTTATAGCTGATTTCATAATTACGGAAGTGATACACAAACCGTAGATTTTTGTAGTGAAACTTGTTGTAGCTGGCCATGCTGACGAGGCCGCCCCAGCCGGGACCAAGCGAAAAAAATATTTGCGTAGCCGCGTCTACCCACACCTATTTAAAAAAAAAATACACCTTTCGATAACTCAATCAAACAATGTAGTTATATTAATTATGGGAAATCATTACTTTGGGCTTCATCAATTGTTCCCAATCGGGTAAAATGTAGAATAGAATTCCTTTTCCAGCTCCAGGTAACGTGATGCCGCGAACGAACAAAGCGCACAGAACCACATATGGGAATACAACCGTAAAGTAAACTATCTGAAAATAGCATAACATTTATTAATAGCGAAGTAACAATAATCATGACAACATAAATATTTCGGGCGGGTATATTGACAGGTGGGCAGTGTGCCAAGTGTCACTTTGTTATAGAGACTAGTTGTTCCGGAGTAGTCGAAATTCGACTTTATTTGTTTGAAATTATAAGTTTGAACATTATTATGGTTCTAGTTACAGATTTCGCCAAAACCACACCATAGACAAATAATATTAAAGATAAACAATATTAACCTATTCTCAATTTGACCACAGACTTCAAGCAATAACAAAAGTTTGACAATAAACGAAGAGTTTAGTTTATGTAGTTTAGAGAATTATATGCGTATGTGTCAAATACATGGTAGTGTGTGTAATGTTTTTTTTATTGATTTAATGTATTATTATTGCATAATTAAAAAAAAAAAATTAGGATTCTGCACTCCTTCTCTATATTCTCTATAAGTGTGGGAAATTTCATACACCTCCGTCCGCGCAATTTTCGTAAAAAGGGATACAAAGTTTTTGCTTCACGTATTAATATCTATTAAGGTGTTCACCTTTCCGACGCTTTTGACTCCGTTACAAATGCACAAGTATATGATGATCCAGCATATCACGTTGCACCAAAACACGGGCCAAACTATACTACCTATTTCACTGATACCTGAAGAAACCCGCAGGAGGCGTAAGCTGAAAAAACCAAAGAATTGTTTGGATAGTTTTAGAACTTCATTTTTCAACGGCCAAGCAAGGACAAATTGTTACTCACTGAAAAAATTCGTCTTCTGGCGTCGTGATCGTGCCGTTTGACAAAAAAAAGCTTGAATTTCCTGTTATCTGTGCACACACATAAATATCGTTTAACTTTTCATTGAACAGTAACTATCAGGATGCAGTAATTTCTGTAGCTTTGCGAGTTATAAACACAATTAAAACTACTTTTACGTTTCAATCTCGTAAATTTAAATAGACTATTAAACCAGTGGTCCGCAACCTTGTCAACCAAAAGACCCAAATATAGATAACACACACTTGAAATTAATTCAAAGAGCCATGCTTTTTAAATGTATGTACATACTTTTTTAAAGCCTTCTATTTCAAACATGCTTCTCTTATAAGGCAAGATAATAGGTAATGTTTCGTGCCTGAACTAAGCGGATTTAAGCGGAAGTTAATTTAGCGGAAGAGCCGAGCAGGCAAAATCCGCGGGTTGTTAACCACTGATTAAGACTGTAGGTATCACAGAAAGTCAGAAAAAAACGATATTAAAACGTAAAAGTAACTTAATTAAGTATTTTTAGTTTACCTCAGTACATTTATCGGTGTTCCAAGGGTTTCCACAGGTTTGCCACGGTAACGGCGAACCCAAAGAATGATAGATGTACAGTACCGGATACGACATTATGGCAGAAAAATATATAACTGCTATTACGTTTAGAACTATAACAGCGTAACCCGCACCTGTAAAAATTACTTCTTAAATTCCGTTGACATATAAACCAAATAAAAAATAAAAAAATAACTGAAATTACCTTTGAAAAGAGGGTTTATGTTAAAGACAGAAATGCATCCGGCACTGGCGAATTGACCCAATGTCGTTTCCAAATAGACCAGGGGAATCCCGCAGATAACCAAAGTTAAAAAGTACGGAATGAGGAATGCTCCTGCAATTTTTTAAATATGGTGTAACACAAAAATATTCAGCATAATTTAATAAACTTTCATAATTATTATATTAATTTATGTTTTGCTTCACATAAAGTCACTTTACATAAGAAATAACACATTTGTTAACAAGGAAATGTGTTTGTACAGTACCTCCTCCATTACGGTAGCATAAATATGGAAATCGCCACAAGTTTCCGATGCCGACAGCATAACCGAGACACGATAGCAAATATTCAGTTTGATTTGCCCAACGTTCCGGCTGGACCCTTGCCATTTTAGAGCACTTCTAACCGATACTTCAGGATGAGAATAAAAATATTTGTCTGTTTGTTTACATCACCAGTATAACACTGCCCAGATTGATTCAATTTGTTCTAACCGAAGGGGGTCCGTGGTTTATTGGGTTGAGCAATACAAAACGCTGTTCAATAGGATAATAGGCCATCAGTACATTCGGGCTGGATTGACGAGTACGGACTTGTATGTTTCTAACGGCACTTGCAATGATATATTAGATATAAATTATAGTTTATTATAGGTAGAAGAAAAAAACAAGACTATCGGATTAAAATCCCGAAAAATGAGAAATTCAATGAACGCGCTCTTTATGTAGGTTAAAGCATTGACTGCAGTGTTGAGGTAGGTAGTGGGACTGGCTGTACGGTTAGTCCACACAGGTATGTAGACTACTTCATATTCCATTTTTCTGTCGCGAAAGGTTTTAATGTTCCGGTCTGAAGCGTAGTTGGGTACCATACTTCCGTATTATACCATTTTTCATTCCCGTGCCTTAAGGTGGGCGCTGGCATTCATTTTTTATGTTCATGGGGTCCGGTAACCAATAGTATAATAACAATAAAAAAATGCGAAGTCATTAATGTATGCCCATCACCAGCAATGCAATGTTATTCATTCATCGCGAAAGTTATTTGTAAGCATGCGCTAAGTATTTACGTATATCATTAGAAAAATGGATATCTGTAAATCTTGTAAATGTGCTAATAGCCAACTGGCCCTAGCAAGAGCAGTGCTTCGCAGGATTTACAGCCGGATCGGAATCGCAATCTACTGAGAAGATCCAACGAGAAACTCAGAGAGCTAAAATTATTATCATTACGGCAACGTTGATATGAAAATAATACTGTTACGCCAGTAAGAGTAATGCCATCTGTCATCAAATAGCAGAAACGAATATCAAAAGAACTAGAAATATCGAAAACGCTCGAGACGTTTAACGCCATCTATTATCACATAGCGGAAACACGTCGAAACGACTAGTCCTATTGGGAATATTCTTGATAATTGTAGACTTATCGTGTCGACTATAAAAGCGTTGCAGCGATAACATGAAGTTTGTTAGTAATTGGATCTTCTCGAAGCGAAACAGTGAACAGATCACCTGAAGCGAAACGGAAGAAGTGAATTGTGAATTGTAAAGTGTTCCTTAAGAGTTCTAAGTGTTAAATAAAGTTTTAGTTTGTACTTCTATTTAGTCTGCGCAATCATAATAAATAATAGCAACTAATTTCTTTAACCTGTTGTTATGCAGTTATTGAATAATACAATTACACTATTGTCAAATAATTTAATTGCCTCACAGTGAAGGAGCATTTTATAATCGCAATGTTTCAATACCAAAAGCGAAATGACAAGTCAAATTATCTGGAGGAGATTGCCTTGAGGATCCAGCATCGGCTTGCGGTTTCCCTTTAGGCGTTTTGACCGGAGCCTGACTATATTGGACAGCCTGTTAACAATATGCGTTAAACGAATTAATCCTAAGGAAGATTTACGCAATGTGCGGGCTATATACTGTGAAACATTTTATTTATTAATTAATGAAAGCCAATGGGGTCATAGATATCAACAGAATCACGGTCCCTGCTAAGCTTCGGTCTGTTCGTTTTCTTTAATTAACTATATTTTTATGTATAGCAATCTCAGAACGTTGACAGCCGAGCCGACAGTTTCTCTATTGTTTAATTTCTTGGGAAAGTGACGAACAAGATTATATTTATTATCATTAAAATGTTCGTGAAATAGCCGTTTTTTCTCTCTACATATTCGCTAGTAGCCTAGAAGGCTATTCTAGCTATGCCCGGACGGGTATGTGAGCTCAAGGGCACAACCTGAGAGAATTTGCTAACACTAGCTCTAGCAAGAGTAGTGCTTCGGAGAATCTACCACCGGATTGGAATCGCGACACACTGAGAAGATCCGACGAGAAACTCAGTAAGGTGTGTCTACGGGTTAGTTCACTCGTCGTGATCGACGAATTCGACGAGGACGGTGACCGGCTACCTGACGGACCTAAAAGCATCGAGAATGAATCCGGGGATCCGACAAGACATGTTTTGGGTGACGTCGGCTTTGCGTTGCCCCGTCCCGCTCAGACAAGGCGACAGCCGTGTAGTCCACGCCACACTATAAAGAATTATCGGGTTAATGAACAGGAACTACTTAATATGATTCCCTTAGAGGTTTGCCCATAGCCTCTTTATATAGGTATATTTTAATTTGCGACAAGTAAATACTCTTTTAAAGCTATTCGTAAAAAAAAAAGAAAAAATGAAAGCCGGTATACGTTTGTTTTTAATTTTAACCTGAATTATTTCCATGAATATTGACCATCAGAAATGCCTTCCTAATTGGTAGTAAGTGGTTTTCTAGTTTACTCTTGAAAGTGTTTAGTTTAATTCTTACAGTAAGATCGCCCTCGCCCCAGTGTATTGCTTCTTCAGTACCCAAGGTGTCGTCCCAATGGAAGTGCTGTGAAATTTGACTCCAATCCGGGTTGCTAAGTGAACATTTCACGGTAGCTAATACGGCTATTTGCTCATTTGGCATTTTCATTGAATGCACGCTTTTCTTTTCTGTTTTTCCTTGTTTCGCAGTACTGGTCTAAAATATATCACATACATATAAACATAGCGATCATAAGAGAAGATCCGGCGAGAAACTCAGCGCGCTGATCCATGGGTTGGGTTGCACGTCGACCTCTTTGTCGAGTTCGACGAGTACGGTTACCGGAGTCCCTAAGCCTGCTCCTAGTGTTAGAGCTGAAGGCGTCTAATGCAAAGGTTATTGGATCTGATGGATCTGTAAGGACGTGTCTAGAGCGTCGCCGGTGACTGGCTCCTGCGTGATCAGGATTCGGGGAGTAGTCAGCAGCGGAAACGATAAGGCGATTATCATGACGGAGTTGTAAAATGTATTTTGGTATTAGCTTTTAATTTTACCAAGATCGAATTATTGCATAAATCATTACCACTGTATATACAAGCTTGATTGTGACAACAGTTCTGAATGTATCCCTCAGAGCCACAAGATCCGGACAGAATATCTTCACAGTAGGCTCTTGGAAATTCATAACTTTGTTCCATTGTATTTTGTTACTCTCAAATGTGGTATAGTTACAGATTTGACGAGAGTTCTTCACAGTCAAATGATGGTAAATATCGGATTCATGTATCGACGTTTCATCGTCTGTGAAATATATGACGGTAAACATATTTAGTCTCAGCTTTAAATTAGGATCGTACGTATTTTTGACGGTAGCATGAAATTGTTGCACTTAGTTAAAAGATATTGTTCCCGATGGAAATATGTAATAGAATTCCATTGACTTTTTTTGGCTTACCCTTGGCTTTGGCTTACCTTTGTCCCCACCCTGTTTCTTTCCACGAGTGTCATTAAAGAAGACTAAGACTAAGGTTCCCCCGGAGAATGAGTAGTAGCATCCTCTGAGTGATATGGTAGTATATTGCGAGTAGTAGCGGTAGCGCAAGTAGGGTTCAGTGTAATCTAGCACGGGCAAGTACCACTATTCTGCTCGTGTTAGTCGTGAAGAAATCAAAATTTTCGATTTGAAAGGACAACTGTGTTAAGCTAAGGGACGATACTCCCATTGTGATCTTACTGGACGCTACCACTCGATACCAGGATGGTCTTGAACTTTTGACTTGTCGTTGTGGACTGCGGGATAAGACGCCCGGTGCATTCGTATGTATCTACTGAAAAATCTTTGTCCTGAAAAACGGAGACTTAGAAATTATGTCTCAATTTGGGTGGCGGCATTAACGTAGCTGATGTCTATGGGCTCTGGTGACCATTTAACACCAGGTGGGCCGTGAGCTCGTCCACTCATCTTAGTAATAAATAAAAGAGTCGTCAATCTTGAAAATCATAATTGAAACCCCTAGCATCGGACGGCGGACTTGTAATTTTTTTTTATTGCCCTTGTATGCAGACGAGCATACGGCTCACCCGATGGTGAGTGGTTACCGTCGCCCATGGACTTTAGCAATGAGAGCCAAGCCGCTGCCTACCGATCACCTGTTGTCGATTTCGAGAATGATTTCCTATACCTGCTTTGAATTATACAAGAAACAACGATACCTCTTACAGGATTGACAATTTTACTGGTGGTCATTGAAGACGGGATGTGCCATATATCATCCTCCGGTGGCGGCATCATTTGTATCAGTGACTCATTCGTGTGATACATCAGGAAGTTTCTTCTATTTGAGTCTAATAATGGCAGCTCTAGTTCCACGTGAAACGTTGTTGTTGCTCCCTAGATATAAGAACATTACGTGAACAATTTCTGCTACAATGTATAGATTTTAATTCGGAAAAAGATTTTTTTTTAAACAAAGCTCTCATTCAGAATTTTTTATTTCAGCTATCTTTTGGAGTATGTTATTATGCAATGTAATAAATAATTAAAAATCTAAATTTCCAATTCCTAGAAACTTAGTAAATGAACAATACTTCTTTCGGTTCCATTTACAATTTGTAGCAGTTTATATTTAGATACAAATAAAGTAATGAAGAAGTAAGAATTGTTATAATGATTGGGGGAACTTTAAAAGTCTTTGATTGAATTTCTATTAGTAAATTTTTTTGAGCTAATAGATAAAACCAGAGATAATAGTTGTATTAAATTGAACAATCAATGTTGTAATTTTTCCTGCCTATTTGCCGGTAGCCTATGGGGCTATTCCAGCTACGTTGCGACTGGTAGGTGAGCTCACGGGGCTCAACATGAAAGAATGTGCTAACAGCGTCCTTTGCAAGAGTAGTGATTTGCAGAATCTACCTTCTCCTCCTCGCTTCGTTTCCTCACTGCTGAGGGTTGTGACCATTATAATTCGACATGATTTTACTCCTTGTGATGTCCCGCCAGCGCCTCCGATCATTGGCCGCATGAAGGGCGTCGTGGAATGGGATCTCGAGTGTGGTGCGGATTTGGTCGAACCACCTTGTCGGACTGCGCCCGCGCGGTCTCTTTCCCTCGATCTTCCCTGTCAGAATCTACCACTGAATGGGAATCGCGACCCACTGAGAAGATCCGTCGAGAAATTCAGTGGTTAATTGTCTTAAGAGAAACTGAACTGTGGGCCTCTACCTTTTCTGGCTTCGGTGGTTGGGGTACGGACATGATCCTTATAACAGTGAAATAAAAGTAGGCCGATCGTAAATCATCAGGATGTGGCTCAAGGAGTTCTGGCACTCGATCAATTGATAGTACTTCGCGATTATCCAAACATTTCAGCCGCGGTAATCTTGTTAAAGTCGCTCGAGCATAACCTGCGCAAACCTAGGCAAAAGCAATTTGGGTAATTTTATTCGAAGACAATAAAAAAAATCTAAGCTATAAGACTGCGAATAAATAAATGCTTAAAGCATTCGTACTCCGACTACTGGAGGGAGATGATCCAGGCATAGGGGATTACCGAGTGATTGAGGGATTACCGGTGGCCCGAAGGCCTTTCCAGTTCCACCAGGACAGGTGGGCGAGCAAAGAGTGAAAGCTAGGAGTGAATTTGCTAAGAGCTCAGTGGGATTTGCTAACAGCTACCCGAGCGCTTCCAAAGGAGACATAAGAACTCAAGTGTAGCTGCTTCGCGAATGTATCTTACTAGCGTATCGGAATCGGGATCCGCTGAGAGAATACGGCGAGAAACTCAGCGGGCTGATTCTTAGGCTAGGTTTCACGTCGAGCTCTGTGCCGTGTTCGTCGAGTACCTACGGTTACCGGGTCAGTAAGCCTGCTCCTAGTGTTAGAGCTAAAGGCTTCTAATGCAAGGGTTATTGGATCTGATGGATTCGTAAGGACATGTCTAAGGCATCGACGGTGACTGGCTCATGCATGCATGATTCGTAGGATTCGGGGAGTAGTCGGCGGTGCCAACGATAAGGCGATTGTCATGACGTAGCTTGTTTCGTGGTATCCAGGTAAGCAACTCAATGCTGTGACTAACAAATTGAACTGAACTAAATGAGATTGAAGATATGATAACTGACGGATTTATTTACCGCCTAAATCTACAAGTCGCAATAATCCAATACATCTGAGAGTTTATTTAAATCTAAAATGTCTACCCGGAATTATTAATTTAAGGAAAATTTATGATTAAATTAAAGACTTAACAGCGCCATCTATGTAAAGTTTTTGGTATTAATTTGAAATTTACCGAGCACGGATTTCCAGCGAGTAGCAACGACGTTAGATTCGATAATTCCACCAGAACATCTAAAGTTGAATTCAAATTATAGATGTCGTTGTCTGACAAATCCAGAACTGTCAAACTTTGTGGTAAGCTTGCAAGACTTTCAACGTCTGTAAAATATGCATAGTGCGTTACAAACGTAAGACCTATAAAAGCGATGATTTTGATATACAAAACTTACCTTACAGGTGGTAGGATCTTGTGAGTCCGCGCGGGTGGGTACCACCACCCTGCCTATTTCTGCCGTGAAGCAGTAGTGCGTTTCGGTTTGAAGGGTGGGGCAGCCGTTGTAACTATACCTGAGGCCTTAGAACTTATATCTCAAGGTGGGTGGCACATTTACGTTGTGGATGTCTATTGGCTCCAGTAACCACTTAACACCAGGTAGGCTGTGAGCTCGTCCACCCATCTAAGCAAAAAAAAAAACAAATTTTATTGTTAAACCGTTTACCATTCGAAATGAAATTTCTTGATAAGCCCAAATAAAGTAAATTTGTAGGTAAATCCTTAGCAAATAATTCGACGCTGCTGATTCGATTCGCTTGCAGTTCGAGTATTCTAACTCCCTCTGGTATTACAGTCGCATCTATGTCTTTTAAATAATTCAAGCATAAAGTTAAAGTTACGAGATTTTTATAGTCTCTTAAGCTGCAGTCGAGTTTTGTTATCTGCAAACGGATATACAAAACTAGAAAACTTCAACACCTACTTTTCCGGTCCAATATTTGTTTTTTTTTTTTGAGAACAAATAATGTCTTGACAATAATTGACTACGAAAGATTTTCAGTTTTCTTCACTACTGACTTGGATCGGAAATTGCTCTATTACCAAAAAAGAAAACGCATGATGATCAAGTGGTGGACATGTATCTTTAATAATGTCTACGACTCGCGGAAATATTGTTACTGAAATAGTACTTTAAGGGCTTCAATGGTTTTGACCCTAGCTTTTCACCCGCATCTTCGCCTATGGGTAACGGGTCACTAATACGTCACATAGGCGGTGTGTGGTGGAACGAAAGATAATTTATTTATATTATTCTATACTCTATTCTAGGATTTATTTGTATTATTCTATATCCTAAACGCACTTTATATATGTAAACGTAGTCTACAAATAGCTATTTTCATATTGATAATAATTATTTGCTCCGTATAACTTTTTGCGTCTATGAGATGACTAAAAATAAATTCCAAAAATCTTTCAACGACTTTAAATTGTTTGCAGCATCAGATTTTATTTAAACAAAGTTGTATTTGAAGAGGATCCCAAATTATCAGTGAAATCTAGTTCTAGGCGATGGATTGGCGAATTTACACAATTGTCGCCTTACACAATAATTAATGTCGTTGTAGGCTATACAATTTTTTCCGTCTCTACCGATCTCTACAATTCGATACCGTAGGTCACAAATTTTATTTAAGTGGTAAAAATTTTACATTTTTTATTGGTTGTCTGGGCCTTTTAACATTTAGGTATATAAATATAAATCTTTGAATTTTTATACGATCAACAGTTTGGTCACCAAATTTGCTGTCCCTAATCTGCTGCCCTAGGCTCAATCCTACTTAGGCTGGTCGCAATTCGGTCATTGCCGAAATGGGTGTGAATGAACAACGAACGGATAGAAAAGAATTCTAAAAATCGCTGGTTTTCGCCCAATTAAATAAGAGCTCTACTCTTGTTTCTTTAGTTACCCCTACTCGTTCCATTTTACCTCTAACTTTTCTACTTTTGTTTACCCTGGATTCTATTAAACAGGATTAAATGCAGTTTGACGGTAATTTCAAGTTCGTGCATAAGTATATACCTCTTTTATTTAGTAGCTGTTGAAGACTATTCGTGCTATCAATAAGAGAAACGCGGAAAAGTTCGTTTTTCAAAACTTCAATAACAAAATAAAAGAGATAACTATGCGCAAAATGAATTTGAGCCTTGAGGCGTCAGTGATTTTAGTCCAATTTCGATTAGTGCTTCTTCAGTTTTATAAAAAATCTGTACCAACCAAGCACTATGTATCGAAACGTCGTCGGGCTAAGATAGGAAAAAGGTTGTAGTAAATTTTAAACAAATTGGCCGCAAAGTAGCTTTTTTTCATACCTCGGCTTCATTAATCCTCAACATGTCAACTGCTTTTAGCTCTTTTCTTAAGATTTCCCGATCATTGAGCTTAACAGCTTTCCGAATAAGTTTCACCAAATCGTTCGTGATACTGTTATTATTTTGAAAACATATCATCCCTTCACTATTAGCAAATTTTTCAATCTCCCATAAAGTGATAGGAAGGAACAGCTCCCATTGATCTTGCAATGTAAGCGTGGAAGATTCATCAAGGAAACCACGGAGTATGCTCGACTCAACTTTTTTTTTAAGTGCCTCTTTTAGGCTGACCTGGGAAATCTCAACTCTTTCGCAATTTAATTTGTGATGGCGGAAGGCTTTCTCCAAAAGAGTCCAATCGATATCTGTTAGTATACGTTGTTGATAACCTGTCGGTATATGAGTGTAGGATTATTTTACAGGTAAACAGGTAAGATCGACGTTTGTCTGATTAATAGGTACCTTTAATGGAACTATCAATCAATTAAGTGCTTTTTTATGTTCATAAGTATGCTATATACTTTCACACAATATTATTACGTGAAATTACTTTCCTTAGATTAAGCTACGCAAAAATGTATTTGCTTATTACATTTTGTTGTAATGAAGTTCATTAGAATGTGCTATTAGTAAGCTATTGGAAAAGTTGTTTTTATTTAACATAAATTGCCTAACATCTATGTTGTCCCCGGATTAGATTCAATATTTCTTAAGTAGAAATTTAGACAAATAATTAGATACATATATCCATTACCTTCTATTGCATTTTCAGGAATACGGAGTAAGCTGGAATCACTAATTATAGGTCTCGTTGCAATCTGAGTAGGTTTCTTTATGTTATCTTTTGGTTTTGGAGGCATTTCGGGAAAACAAATATAGAGAAAACACTATATTTTTATTTATCTTCTGATTTCATAGTGTTTATCTAATATATACTTTAATGTCCTATCTATGGCTGTCACTATTTTGAAAATACTTAGACGTCAGTTTTCGATATCTACTGTTTACGGAAAAGTTTCAATTACATTTGCCTTCATTTTTAGAAGAAAATAATTTATGTGTTGATAATGGATTTAGACGACCGAAATGAATGCCATAAGACTCAAACATTGAGTTTTATCACCAAAATGAAGAAAATTAATTAAAAATATTAAAATGAAAATGTGTATGTATGTACATACATAAAATGTTGCTAATGCAGCCGACGTTTTGTCAACTTCAACACAGATGTCGCTAGTTTATTTTCAAGGTTTCAAGGTAATTCGCTATGTTCAAGTCTGTTTTTTTACAATCTGTGTCTGTGGTGGTATGGCATTTGCTGTGTTCGAGTTCGCGAAAGACAGCTGCCAACGGCCAATGTCCGTTGATGTTAACGTCACGTTTATATTTTATTAATGCAATGAATTTTATAGCATGAACGTAACATAACGGTAAAAAATCTGTACATTATGTCTTTAGTATTTGAAGCGCTGCACGCAGCATAAGTTGCGTTAGCTGTAAAGCTGTAAAAAGAAAATAAATGTGTAGCTGTGCGGGACTTGTTCTTTTTTTGTATGTGTGCTTAGACTACATTCGAGTCTGGATTAGTGGTTGACATTGACATTCTGGGACGCGGGAAGTTTAAATGGAGATGCGGAATCTTTGTGACTGGGTTTTAGCCAAGCCAGATAACATGTGAAGTGAAAGTTAAATGGTTGTGTTCGAATGGCATACTGTTTGTACTAAATACCAGTTCTGACTTTCCGACAGACTTGTGTGTTTTGTGATTGCGCCATTAACAAGATCTACATACATGTGATTTAAAAACAATTTAATGTTCTCTCCTTTATAAAGTTGTATTTTGTATAGTGAAGACAGTGCAAGTAAAGGTATATAAATAATATTTTATTTGAATTAAGCTTTTGTCGAAATTTTCAGATTGAGTATACCTGATTTAAAAGTACACTTGATCAAATAAAGATTGCGAGTAAGTGTTACGCGCCCTATTCATACAGCTACTTATCAAAGTATTTCAATAACAAGCATCATTGATATAATTATTTTGTTTCGTTTTAGTTAGTATAAATATAAACGATCTAGGTTGTTACTGGGTTTTCTTTAAGTGATTTGATTTCTTTCGCATTTAAAGAAAGAAGTACATGTTTATCTATATTGTTACGTTCGAACAAAAATACCCGGAAAATATTCGGACGATACTTGTTTGTTTTAAAGCTTAAAAATACTTTATAGGAATAAGTAAGTATCAGTGATCACGCATCGATCACGGAAGACGGAGACGGAGAAAACGCGACATATAAATAATTTAACGCTCCATGTTTTAGTTAACTGAGGCAATCAAAAACCAGTTTCCGACTGAAATATAACATAATTTGGTAATTTGATAAGAAATATTATCAACGATTGGTTAAGCGTCATTTGTGATGGCAGTGAGATTAGATCCTCCACCCTTCGATCCCGAGTCTGGTAAAGACCTAGTACAAAATATATATTCTCAGACTTCCTTCCGGCGCGCTTCGGGAATAAGTTCAAATAGAACGAGCGGAGAGTATGCATCTGAGCTTATTTAGATATCCGCAATTAAAGTGTGATTCGATTTTTGAGCACGCTTAGATCATTTTTCTCAATAATGCGAAATATTGGATCCAAGAACGATTTTTTCATTCGACGAATGGTTTTGATGGTCGAGTGCAGAACCCAGGACCAACTTCTCAATAACGAGGATTCTCTAACAACTCCCTCAAAGAAAGATTTTTTCGGTTTAAAAGATAACCGTTATTATAATGTAACGACTTCGACCTCATGTCTCAAGGCGGGCGATGGCTTTCTTGTTGTTGGCGTAGAAACAAACTACTTGACAAATCGGTTGAGATTACCAAGTTAGCACGTACGTAAACGAAGATCAAATTTCATGGCGCGCCAATTTTAAAGGTATCGCTGGAGATCTCCGAGACAATTGGAATTTTTGATTCAATATCTAGAACGTCGCTCAGTAAAGACTCGGATGCTGAGGTTTGATTAATTGGTAATTCTCGGTTAAGATTAAAAATATCCTCCACCTCTGGTCAGCAGTCCTAGGTGAGATCCTACTTGAGATTTCACATTTAAATAGGACTTACTAATACTTATTACCATACAAATTCATTTGATGTTTAGGTGATCGGATATCCCAATGTCTCGGATTGTTTGAAGTCGCTGAACCCGTACGAATTTTCTTCGTAAGGTTTCTATTACTATTTTTGTACCAAAACATACCATAATCTCTAGTGTTGATGAAGTTCATTACCTTTACATTGAACGAGCTACTTGGCGTATATAATAGTCTATGCGTCTTTAAAACGGTCGACCGTGAGGTTTTGGTGTTCGATTTTATTTTAATTGCGTAGACTAGTGAAATAGCTCACGATCCACCTGCTGTTAACTTCGCAGCCCATAGACCTTGTAATGTAAATGCCAGCACCCACCCTGACAAATGATGTCGAAAACTCAGTTGTACACGACTGTACACACCCTTCAAGCCGAAACGCATCTATGCTTTGCAGCAGAAGAAATAAGTAGGATAGTTATACCTAACGTGACCAATTATTTTTTTTAAGCGAGACATCTGCTGAATTATATAGCACTTTCTGTACCTCTTACCACGTAGTCGCTTTTGTTAAATTAGCATATTAAGCGCTTCTAGATCTATGTTGAATTGAAAAATGAATTTATCGTTTGGTCTATTTGCAAAAGCGGGACTATGCCGGTCTCTCTGGGGACAGCGAGACAGAATGGCCAAAAGTGGGACTGTCTCGCCAAAATCAGGACGTATGGTCACGTTAGTTATACCGAACCCAATACGTCGAAGTTAAATTTGTTTGCTTTACATTGTAACGTGTTCTAATAATAATTTCAAAATAGTAGCACGTACACGTTTTCATTGTAATTTGACAGTCTTGGGACACTGTCCAAGTGTTCACTAAACACAATTAAAACTACTTTTACGCGTTTATTATTTTCATTTGATTAATTTCGGCGTATGGAATACTGAATAGTTTGCGTGATCACTGACAATGAAAGTGCTATTTATCGCTATTTATGCAATACAAAAATAGTAAATGTGACTAGTAAATTCCGGTCACGCTTCGCTGACTACTCATAAATCTGCGTAACAGTAATAATATGTTGAATATCTCGCGGATAGTGTACATGTGGTACATTGATGCAGAAACAATTCTTGAAGTGCAACAGCGTACAAAGTTTATATCAAACAGTTTGATCGACGCGCGAATAAAATATAACGCGAATAAAAAACATCTTATATTATTAATAAATACAGTACTTCCAATATATATACATATAAATATTTATAATAGTAATTGTATCATCCGGAATTCATCCGGAAATCAATTTATAATAAGCGGGGTTAAAGTATGCAATTGCCGTTTTATTCAGCTTAGACAAGAAAGATGCATACTTCGAAAATTCGAGTGATTTTTTAATACGAGTTCCGACGCGGAAGTAACGCTGCAGAAACAGCTCGCAATATCAATGTTGCGCTTAGAGAGGGGACTGCTAAGTGCTAATGAACGCATTACGATTTAGATATAAAGGTTTTCTTGATGGAAATTTTGATTTGAATAACGAACCACGTGGAAGACCACACATGTGAGAAACAATGAATTGACAGAGATCGTGGAAGCCGATCCGAGCCAAACTACCCAGGAATTAGCGACATGGCTTAACGTTACCAACAATATTGACTCATTTGCGTCAAATCAATAAAATAGAAAAATATGAAAAATGGGTGGCTCATGATTTGATTGATCTGCAGAAAGAATCGCGTGTTGAAACTTGTGTTGCCTTGTTGAATCGATACAGAAATTAAGGAGTATTGGATCGAATTGTGACATGTGATTAAAAGTGGATTCTTTACGATAACCGTAAGCGAAAAATGCAATGGCTGACCCCAGGTCAAACGCCGCAACAGTGTCCTAAGCAAAGCTTACCGATAAAAAGGTAATGGTAGCTGTTTGGTGGTCTCAGCATGTTATTCACTATAGCTTTCTCCGATCTGGTCAAGCAATAACTCCGAATAATGCCGAACTCCGAACAATGATAGCAAAACTGGCAGTGAAACCTCCCCGACTCATGAATCGATCTTTACCATTATTGCTCCATGATAACGCGAGACCTCATACAGCACGAGAAACCGTTTTAACTCTACAGGAACTGCAATTAGAAACCGTTCGTCACCCTCGGACTACGGACTACCATTTTTTTCGTGATGTGGATAATTTTCTACGTGATAAGAAGTTTTTTTCTCAGGAGGCAGTATAAAATACTTTCAGACAGTTTGTAGAATCTAGATCACCAGAGTTCTATAGAACCTTTCTATTGGATGGCAGCAATGTATAAATTATAATGGTAGATATTTTGGTTAAATAAATATGTTAGATGAAAAATAAAACGAATTTCAATTTTTCAGTAGAAATCGGCAATTTCATACTTTAACCACTAATTAATACATTTTTGTAGAGTTTCTTTTTAAAGTATACATAATAGTATATGTGTTATACATTTCTGCGTTCATTTTTCTTTTGTTTGGTACAAAAAAAAAAAAAGATTGGGAAGGTAATGGTCACAATAATGATGTCCGTGACGAACCGAACTCACTCCGCAAAAGCCGATCGCCGTCCGCACCGTGCCCACGTATGCATAACAAATAAATAAATTTTATTTGTATGACCTAATGTAAATTTACATTTCCATGACAGTTACTGATTTTTATGAAAATAGCCGCATAGTTTGTCAGAATCTAATAATACTTTTCCTTGTAATCTTTAATAATGATTGATTTAAATTTCCCGTTAAAGAAAACTTGTTTGAGTAGCGTGTCATGACGTAGTTGAAGGTGATAATCTTGCGAGGTGCTCTCATATAACATAATTACGTACGATAATCTCAACCATAATGCTCACAGTCTCTTTATAAAACTGTCCTTCAAAGATTCGTGTTTATTCTATTCCGTCAATTAACATAATTCTATGATACAGTGCCACCTCGATATAACAAATCGAAAGGGAGGGGACAAGTAAATATTCGTTATATTAAGTAATTCGGTAAACTTAGGTTTGTATTAATGTTAGGTTAGTCTACCATTCGTTATAACGAGGTAAAAAAAAATTGTTTTATTTACCTCCATATTACGTACTCATTTCCTACTAATAAATGATTACATATTTTTATCGAATTACTGTAGGTACTTATGTATTTTCTATTTAAAAACAATTAGGTAGGTAACATTTTTTCTCAAACCTGTCAAGACCATAGACCTATATAGTAGGGACACGACATATTGTTCTATACGTACAATTGCTTATATAAATAGCACCCATTTTGAAAGCACATACATAAACATATATCTATCTCGTTCTTGCTCAGCACTTTAACTCGCAGGAAAACAATATAACAGTATTTCAGTGCGTACATAAAATGAAACATGAATATACGTAAATATCTCCATCTCCGTCTAATGAGGCCGAAAATCCGCCATGTTTAGCGCGCCAAATGTCATTGTCACGTCAGTTCGGCCGTCTGTTTTGGGTTGTACATTATTTATTGACTTTGATGTCGATTTAATATGATTGATTATATAAAATTTCATAATTTATCATGCTTAAAACATACAAAAATAATAATTAAAACGTATTTTATAGGATCTCAAGAAAGTCGATGCCCGCCATGTTTTGTGGCCAGATGACGTCACAGTGGCACGAAATTTTGGCTGACGTTTCATTTCCATAGGTTTCCTACTTCATTGGTCAAGACTAATNTTTGATGTCGATTTAATATGATTGATTATATAAAATTTCATAATTTATCATGCTTA